CAGGTCCCAAGACCGAAACGTTTTCTAATATGTCCAAGTGTTAGGTAATGTTTGTCAGGAAACATGGTGTTTCCTGACAGATGTTTGCAGTTGGTTGCTTACTAGATGTTAGCAATTGTTTGCTCGCTAGATGTTAGTTAGCAGTTGTTTGCCCGCTAGATGTTAGCAGGTGTTTGCTTGCTAGATGTTAGTAGTTTGCTCGCTAGATGTTAGCAGTTGTTTGCTCGCTAGATGTTAGCAGTTGTTTGCTTGCTAGATGTTAGCAGTTGTTTGTTCGCTAGATGTTAGCAGTTTGCTTGCTAGATGTTAACGGTTGTTTGCTTACTAGATGTTAGCAGTTGTTTGCCCGCTAGATGTTAGCAGGTGTTTGCTTTCTAGATGTTAGCAGTTGTTTGCTCGCTAGATGTTAGCATTTGTTTTCTTGCTAGATGTTAGCAGTTGTTTGCTTACTAGATGTTAGCAGTTGTTTGCCCGCTAGATGTTTGCTTACTAGATGTTAGCAGTTTGCTTGCTAGATATTAGCAGTTGTTTGCTTGCTAGATGTTAGCAGTTGTTTGTTTGCTAGATTTTAGCAGTTGTTTGCTTACTAGATGTTAGCAGTTGTTTGCCCGCTAGATGTTTGCTTACTAGATGTTAGCAGTTTGCTTGCTAGATATTAGCAGTTGTTTGCTTGCTAGATGTTAGCAGTTGTTTGCTAGATTTTAGCAGTTGTTTGCTTGCTAGATGTTAGCAGTTGCTTGCTTGCTAGATGTTGTTTGCTTGTTAGATGTTGTAATAGAGACGGGTGAGATTAGTCAGAAATATCTAAAATGTATATTCTCAAATTAACATTTTCACCTACCATTACATGGTAGGTAACCAGGTTTGAGATGGAGGAAAGGGATAGCTCCAATTTCTTGGATCAAGAGCCCTTTAGCAAGTAATATCTTCGCAGAACTGCATTACGAACATGGGTTCTTAGGTGAGGTTAGGTAAGGTGTGTCAGAAAACAGGACAAGTGTTTCCTGACGCGGGTCTTAGTCACATGATGACCCGCAGCTGGAGCTTTAGGTCATCTGACTAAGACCTTCCGCCGGCTTTCCCCTCCACCCCTTTAAATTTTATGGTTATGATTATAACAAGGGCTAGCCTCGCAAACTCAATTTACTGTCAAATTTTTTATTCACTCCAGATTACTACAGGTACAGTACTAGATTTATCAGGAGTGAAGCCTACAGAAGCCTACATGGAGCTTGTACACCACCAGTCAGCGGTACCTCAGTGAGACTCTCGGGGATGGAAATATTCAGATCCTCTGGTTTCCTATGACTGTTGTCTTTTACAATGAGAATCTCAAAAAATGTAAATATCCAGATCATCTGGTCTCCTGTTTGTCTTTCACAAAGAAAATCTCAGAAATGTAAACATTCAGATCATCTGGTCTCCTAATTTTGTTGTCTATTACATGTGTTTCGTGCTACCAGTGACAAGTGTTGGCCAGACACTGATGTTCTACCATAAACTAATATAACCTACAGGCTGAGTGATGTTGTTTAAGTAATTTATTACATCAGACGGATAAAGGTTGGTCCCGTCACACAATACTCGACATTGAACCTAGATTCTTTCCGGTGACTTTTCAGCTATGGACCTTGTTAGGCTGTGGGGAAAATATCGCCGCTTCCTGACGTTGTCATATCCTATTAAGATACAAATGTATCCTAGTCATGAGCCACCGTATTCCAGTCATGAATCATGGTCTGGTATTATCTTGGGAACTAAACTCTAGGAAAATTTCAGCAGGTAAGGCATTTCCTAGTCAGATTTGTGTAAATTATTCAGGTATTGTCTTTCACGATATCAGTGTACAAAAATCTTGCTATCGTAGTATGAAAATTTCTCAGTTTCGTAGTACGGAAATCTCTCAGTATCGTAGGTATGGGAATCTCTCAGTATCGTAGGTATGGGAATCTCTCAGTATCGTAGGTATGGGAATCTCTCAGTATCGTAGGTATGGGAATCTCTCAGTATCGTAGGTATGGGAATCCCCAGTATCTTAGGTATGGGAATCTCTCAGTATCGTAGGTATGGGAATCTCTCAGTATCGTAGGTATGGGAATCTCTCAGTATCGTAGGTATGGGAATCTCTCAGTATCGTAGGTATGGGAATCTCTCAGTATCGTAGGTATGGGAATTCTCCAGTATGTAGGTATGGGAAATTCAGTATCGTAGGTATGGGAATCTCTCAGTATCGTAGGTATGGGAATCTCTCAGTATCGTAGGTATGGGAATCTCTCAGTATCGTAGGTATGGGAATCTCTCAGTATCGTAGGTATGGGAATCTTCAGTATGTAGGTATGGGAATTTCTCAGTATCGTAGGTATGGGAATCTCTCAGTATCGTAGGTATGGGAATTTCTCAGTATCGTAGTATGGAAATTTCTCAGTATCATAGGTATGGGAATCTCTCAGTATCAGAGGTATGGGAATCTCTCAGTATCGTAGGTATGGGAATCTCTCAGTATCGTAGGTTTAGGAATTTTCTCGTATCGTAGTATGGAAATTTCTCAGTATCTAGGTATGGGAATCTCTCAGTATCAGAGGTATGGGAATCTCTCAGTATCGTAGGTATGGGAATCTCTCAGTATCGTAGGTATGGGAATCTCTCAGTATTGTAGTATGGAAATTTCTCAGTATCGAAGGTATGAGAATTTCTTAGTATCGTAGGTATGGAAATCTCTCAGTATCGTAGGTATAGAAATCTCTCAGTATCGTAATGTGGAAATCTGTCGTTACTGTGTCTGGAAACCTGCAAGATGCCGCTACACTAGTGTGGGTATAGCGGGGGTGGGCAGGCCAAGGCCAGCAACACACCAGGGTATCCTGAATGTGGGTATGACAGTTAGTTACCTTGATCCCCCGGCGTCATGAAACCGAAATTAAACCAGAGAATATGAAAATTCAGCCTGTTACAACACTTAAATTTGCCTAAAACATTAAACCCCTCACACCAGAAGTTATTTACCAGTGTCAGGTCCACTGCAGGTGTGGCGGAAGGAATTTCTAAAGCAAGAATAAACTTTTCCTGGAATGCCTCACACGTCATCTCTCGGGCAATAGATCGTAAAAAAAAAAAAAATATAGTTTCCGCTGGTGAGAACAATTTACATAATTTTCCAGAGAATGTCAGAAAACAAACGTTAGTTACAATTACATAGGAAATCCTGTGAAACTGACAATAATTTTATATTATCCCTCTAGAATTATTACTGTATTATACTTAAAGTGGGACGAGAGAAAGTTATTTTATCACCAGATATCAAGATCAGGTAACAGCCTTGTACATTTGTACAATGATTATTTTTTGTATTTGCTAAAGAAAGAGCATCACACTGAGGGGATGATATTTTTTCAAATATAATTTTGAACATATTTTCTGGCTGTGAACACCAAAGTAACCCATTGAGAGGACGCCATAAATTTTATCTCTGTTCCTGTAACTTTAAATAGGTAATTACGCTACTGTTATCACACTCATGTATGTAATATTATATTCAGTAAAGATTTAACAATTTAAATCACTAATATAATAATTTCGGTGTGCGATCATAGGTATTCTCTGTTACCTATAATCTAATTCTCTGTTACCTATAATCTAAGTCTCGGGAAAAGTTGTCCTTTGTCAAGTGTATGTAGTTACTGGCACTGGTATTCAACATATGTGAGGATTCACACCAGAGTCTACATTCAACACATGTGAAGATTCAACATAAGAACATAAGAACGAAGGAACACTGCAACAGGCCTACTGGCCCATGCGAGGCAGGTCCAAGTCTCCTACCGGCTTAAGCCAATGCACCCAACCCAGTCAGGTCAGGTCACATTGACTTAAGGGAGGAACACGGCAACCGACCTGGTAGCACAAGCTATCAGGTCCAACTCACACCCACCCACATCCACTCATGTACCTATCCAACCTATTTTTAAAGCTACACAACGTTCTGGCCTCTAGGACGTACTTGGGAGTTTGTTCCACTCATCCACAACTCTATTACCAAACCAGTACTTTCCTATATCCTTCCTGAATCTGAATTTTTCCAACTTAAAACCATTGCTGAGAGTCCTGTCTAGGCTAGATATTTTCAGCACACTATTTACATCCCCTTTATTTATTCCTGTCTTCCATTTATACACCTCAATCATATCCCCCCTAATTCTACGTCTTTCTAGAGAGTGCAGATTCAGGGCCTTAGTCTATCCTCATAGGGAAGGTTTCTGATACATGGGATCAACTTTGTCATCCTCCTTTGTACAATTTCCAGAGCATTTATATCCATTCTGTAATACGGTGACCAAAACTGTGCAGCATAATCTAAATGAGGCCTAACCAAGGATGTATAGAGTTGAAGAACAACCTGAGGACTCTATTATTTATGCTTCTTGATTCACACCAGTCTACATTCAACACATGTGAAGATTCACACCAGAGTTTACATTCAACACATGTGACGATTCACACCAGTCTACATTCAACACATGTGACGATTCACACCAGTCTACATTCAACACATGTGACGATTCACACCAGTCTACATTCAACACATGTGACGATTCACACCAGTCTACATTCAACACATGTGAAGATTCACACCAGAGTCTACATTCAACACATGTGACGATTCACACCAGTCTACATTCAACACATGTGACGATTCACACCAGTCTACATTCAACACATGTGAACGATTCACACCAGTCTACATTCAACACATGTGACGATTCACACCAGTCTACATTCAACACATGTGAAGATTCACACCAGAGTCTACATTCAACACGTGAAGATTCACACCAGTCTACATTCAACACGTGAAGATTCACACCAGTCTACATTCAACACATGTGACGATTCACACCAGTCTACATTCAACACATGTGACGATTCACACCAGTCTACATTCAACACAATATTCACACCAGTCTAACATATGAACGAAGCTTTGTGGAATTAATTATACTCACAAAAAGTCCCACGCCCAAGACGAAGACGAAGTAGACGACGATGACTACAACATCAGGCCAGCCCAGCTTGGTGCCTTCCTCCTCCTCCTGCAGGAGAGTGTTGCTCACCTCTGTTGTGCTCGTCATCGTCAACAACACTAATACTACACAAGTGTCCTCACAGCCACACGCCAACACTCTCACTCACCACCGCAGTCAGCCTCGCACTGACCTGAAACTTGTCGCTGTGTACCTGGCCTTCCTTCATGTGTGTGTGTGTGTGTGTGTGTGTGTGTGTGTGTGTGTGTGTGTGTGTGTGTGTGGACTCACCTAGTTGTGGTTGCAAGGGTCGATTCACAGCTCCTGGCCCCGCCTCTTCACTGGTCGCTACTAGGTCCTCTCCCTGCTCCATGAGCTTTATCATACCTCTTCTTAAAGCTATGTATGGGTCCTGCCTCCACTACATCACTTCCCAGACTATTCCACTTAAAGCTATGTATGGGTCCTGCCTCCACTACATCACTTCCCAGACTATTCCACTTCCTGTGTGTGTGTGTGTGTGTGTGTGTGTGTGTGTGTGTGTGTGTGTGTGTGTGTGTGTGTGTGTACTCACCTATTTGTGGTTGCAGGGGTCGATACATAGCTCCTGGCCCCGCCTCTTCACTGATCGCTACTAGGTCTTCTCTTCCTGCTCCATGAGCTTTATCATACCTCGTCTTAAAACTATATATGGTTCCTGCCTCCTGTGTGTGGAGGGGGAGGGGGTTGCAGGAGTCGATTCACAGTTCCTGGTCTGTGTGTGTACTCGCCTGTATATGTACTGTTTGTGGTTGGGGTCGATTCACAGCTCCGGCCCCGCCTCTTTGCTGGTCGATACTAGGTCCACTCTCTCCCTGCTCCATGAGCTTTATCGTATCTCTTCTTAAAGCTATGTATGGATCCTCCAGCAGGATGTAGGAGAGACAGGATTCCTGCTTCTACTACATCACTCCAGATTGTTCCACTTCCTGGCAGTTCTATGACTTAAGGAAACCATCCTAACATCCCTGTGACTCATCTAAGTTTTCAGCTTCCATTTGTGACCCCCTTGTTGTGGGCTGTATGACCCCAGTAAGTTTAGCGCTTCCTTTTTGATTATAATAATAATTGTTGATGTGTTTCATCTCTGAAACATCCTGTCCCTATCCACCTTGTCAATTCCTCTGAGTATTTTATATGTCGTTATCATGTCCTCTCTATCCCTCCTGTCCTCCAGTGTCTTCAAGCAGAGTTCGCTTAACCTCTCCTCGTAGGACATACCCTTTAGCTCCGGGACTAGTCTTGTTGCAAACCTTTACTTTCTCTAATTTCTTGACGTGTACTCACCTATTTATGGTTGCAGGGGTCGATTCACAGCTCCTGGCCCCGCCTCTTCGCTGTTCGTTACCAGATATATTCCCTGTTCCAAGAGGTTTATCATACCTCATCTAAAAATAATGAAGCCTACAGCATTTGGTATTCCCAAGCGGTCACCCGTCCAAGCAATAACCAAACCTAACGTTGTGCAAGAAAGGTGCTGCTGCCCGTCCCTATCCACTGACGCCTATATAACCGTCAGTCTTCTTGTCTTTGCTCCAGATTCTCCTCCACCACGATGCTGTGAACACTAACTCCAAGGCCGAGGGACTGATTACCTCATCTTTTGTATATAGTTCTACTGTCTTCCTATTATGTCCTAGAATCTGTATTGATAAAGCCACTGGATGGCGAAACGTCTACAATAAAGATATCCAGATGTTGCACATGTGTCTTAACTTTCAAACCCAACGTTGCTTAGCGTCGCTGATAGATGAGAAGCGGTGTGTTCAACGTGGCGCGTCTAGCGTTGAAGTCTCCAGCATTACTGCCAATATGATTTTGGCCATAACACATATTCTACATTCTATATTTATTTCTTGATCACCTCCATGGTTTTACCCAAAAGTTCTTGGACCAAAATCTTGATTATCGTCACGTGCGTGAGGGTGAATCTTGTTATTGTAAGGCAGCCCCTTGTTTACAGGATGCTTATCATCACAAGTAGATTCTATATTAAATAACAAAAAAAGGCACAATACCGTGACTTGCTCTCCCTCTGTGGGCACCTAGCTCCCTTGTGGGCACCTAGCTCCCTTGTGGGCACCTAGCTCCCTTGTGGGCACCTAGCTCCCTTGTGGGCACCTAGCTCCCTTGCACTGCTCCCCTTTCTTTACATTTGACTGGCTCCTCCTCCTTAGTTCCCCACTACTACCACTACTACTACTACTACTACTACTACTACTACTACTACTACTACTACTACTACTACTACTACTACTACTACTACTACTACTACTACTACTACTACTACCACTACTACTATACTACTACTACTACTACCACCACTACCTCTTCCTGCCTATATATAGCCGTCCTGCTCCACTTCTGGTTAGTGTGACTTTGTAAATGGTCCAAATCGGACCGAAACGTCGTCGTAAGCTAATCTCTTCTATGTGCGGGTTATTTGTGTATAGATTCTATATTAGTTATCCTGAAGCCATCCTGTATGAGGACTATGACAATGGCATTTCGTCTTAGATTATTATCATCACAACAGAGTTGGTACTTGATAATGGTCCAGAACAGACCGAAACGTCGTCTATAGGTTCCTCTTGAATGTGTGGGTTATTTGTGTGGTGTTCGAGCCACGGCACTGTGATATTATTTTATTTAATGTTTCTGCGATAATTCTTTTGTGCTATGATGCATTTGTAGTATTTAATATGACCTCTCATTGGCGGTTGTTGACTAGTGATGGTTGCATGGCAGTCTGCATGATGGTTGCATGGTAGTCTGCATGATGGTTGCATGGCAGTCTGCATGATGGTTGCATGGCAGTCTGCATGATGGTTGCATGGCAGTCTGCATGATGGTTGCATGGCAGTCTGCATGGTGGTTGCATAGTAGTCTGCATGATGGTTGCATGGCAGTCTGCATGATGGTTGCATAGTAGTCTGCATAATGGTTGCATGGCAGTCTGCATGATGGTTGCATGGCAGTCTGCATGGTGGTTGCATAGTAGTCTGCATGATGGTTGCATGGCAGTCTGCATGATGGTTGCATAGTAGTCTGCATAATGGTTGCATGGCAGTCTGCATGATGGTTGCATGGCAGTCTGCATGATGGTTGCATAGTAGTCTGCATAATGGTTGCATGGCAGTCTGCATGATGGTTGCATGGCAATCTGCATGATGGTTGCACAGTAGTCTGCATGATGGTTGCATGGCAGTCTGCATGATGGTTGCATAGTAGTCTACATGATGGTTGCATGACAGTCTGCATGATGGTTGCATAGTAGTCTGCATGATGGTTGCATAGTAGTCTGCATGATGGTTGCATGGCAGTCTACATGATGGTTGCATAGTAGTCTGCATGATAGTTGCATGGCAGTCTGCATGATGGTTGCATGGTAGTCTGCATGATGGTTGCATGGTAGTCTGCATGATGGTTGCATGGCAGTCTGCATGATGGTTGCATGGCAGTCTGCATGATGGTTGCATGGCAGTCTGCATGATGGTTGCATGGTAGTCTGCATGATGGTTGCATGGCAGTCTGCATGATGGTTGCATGGCAGTCTGCATGATGGTTGCATGGTAGTCTGCATGATGGTTGCATGGCAGTCTGCATGATGGTTGCATGGCAATCTGCATGATGGTTGCATGGCAGTCTGCATGATGGTTGCATGGCAGTCTGCATGATGGTTGCATGGCAGTCTGCATGATGGTTGCATGGTAGTCTGCATGATGGTTGCATGGCAGTCTTCATGATGGTTGCATGGCAGTCTTCATGATGGTTGCATGGCAGTCTGCATGATGGTTGCATGGCAGTCTGCATGGCAGTCTGCATGATGGTTGCATGGCAGTCTGCATGATGGTTGCATGGCAGTCTGCATGATGGTTGCATGGCAGTCTGCATGATGGTTGCATGGCAGTCTGCATGATGGTTGCATGGTTTGTCTGCATGATGGTTGCATGGCAGTCTGCATATGGTTGTTTTGGTAGTCTGCAATGATGGTTGCATGGTAGTCTGCATGATGGTTGCATGGCAGTCTGCATGATGGTTGCATGTCAGTCTTCATGATGGTTGCATGGCAGTCTGCATGATGGTTGCATGGCAGTCTGCATGATGGTTGCATGTCAGTCTTCATGATGGTTGCATGGCAGTCTGCATGATGGTTGCATGGCAGTCTGCATGATGGTTGCATGGTAGTCTGCATGATGGTTGCATGTCAGTCTTCATGATGGTTGCATGGTAGTCTGCATGATGGTTGGGATGGTAGTCTGCCATGATGGTTGCATGTCAGTTTTTCATGATGGTTGCATTGGTAGTCTGCATGATGGTTGCATGGTTTGTCTGCATGATGGTTGCATGGCAGTCTGCATGATGGTTGCATGGTAGTCTGCATGATGGTTGCATGGCAGTCTGCATGATGGTTGCATGGCAGTCTGCATGATGGTTGCATGGCAGTCTGCATGATGGTTGCATGGTAGTCTGCATGATGGTTGCATGTCAGTCTTCATGATGGTTGCATGGTTTGTCTGCATGATGGTTGCTGGTAGTCTGCATGATGGTTGCATGTCAGTCTTCATGATGGTTGCATGGTAGTCTGCATGATGGTTGCATGGTAGTCTGCATGATGGTTGCATGGCAGTCTGCATGATGGTTGCATGGTAGTCTGCATGATGGTTGCATGGTAGTCTTCATGATGGTTGCATGTCAGTCTTCATGATGGTTGCATGGTAGTCTGCATGATGGTTGCATGGTAGTCTGCATGATGGTTGCATGGGCAGTCTGCATGATGGATTTCATGTCAGTCTGCATGATGGTTGCATGGGAGTCTGCATGATGGTTGCATGGTAGTCTGCATGATGGTTGCATGGTAGTCTTCATGATGGTTGCATGTCAGTCTTCATGATGGTTGCATGGTAGTCTGCATGATGGTTGCATGGTAGTCTGCATGATGGTTGCATGGCAGTCTGCATGATGGTTGCATGGTAGTCTGCATGATGGTTGCATGGCAGTCTGCATGATGGTTGCATGGTAGTCTGCATGATGGTTGCATGGTAGTCTGCATGATGGTTGCATGGCAGTCTGCATGATGGTTGCATGGTAGTCTGCATGATGGTTGCATGGTAGTCTTCATGATGGTTGCATGGTAGTCTGCATGATGGTTGCATGGCAG